ACAAATTCGCGTGACTCCAAGCTTTGGTACAGGTGATTCACGGCATTGTCCCAAGGATCACATGACTCTGAGCTTAGCAAAGGTGAGCAGCTTCCTGGCGTCAATGATCTGTGTGGGTCCGATCTTGGTGATGGCGATCGGCATCGTGACATCGAGGATTTGAATGAATTTCGACTTGGCAAAGGCATGTGGCATCGATGATCGGTGTAACTCTAAGCTAGCGAAGGCAAGGGGCGTCACGACACCGATGAGCCTTTCACCATTTGCAGGAAACGCTCTTTGCTTTACATGTTTTTTACTTCGACTGAAAATTGTTTAGATCAAGCCATCTAGCTTCATCAATTCACGGCTTCCCCTTGGTGAGGATTTACCACCGTAGATTGCCAAGTTGTTGTAGTACTAAAAACAATAGGTGATTATGAAGGAAATATGCCCTAGAGGCAATAATAAAGTTGTTATTTTATATTTTCTTATTCATGATAAATGTTTATTATTCATGCTAGAATTGTATTAACCGGAAACTATGCTAGTAATAAGCTATAAGTACATTGTTCTGGTTCCGGTCAATCTGGGAGGTTTACCATTTGGTTGACTTGTTATCTTTTGTTTGCTAGTCCCACTGTAAACAAATATAAGAGTGTTTAGATCACTATTTTAGTGATCTAAACGCTCTTATATTTCTTTACGGAGGGAGTAGTATTTTGCTGCACTCTTGAACTTGGTTATGAGTTTGGTGCTGGTTGCTAGTTATTGTGCAACTAGTGCTAGTTCGAATCTATCGTTTTGCATGCCTCTGATGTGTTGAGATTCTTTCTCTCCATATGCTTTGAGACTAGCCACAATGCATAGTAACATACACATATCCCTAGACTATGTTACTACCTTCATAGTGGCTAGTAACATAAGTGTGGTAACATGCAAAGCTTCATTTATTAGGTTATAGACTCATATTGCATTGGGACATGTGATGTTATAGTAACTAGCTAAGTTACTGTAACTACCTCTCTCCTCATTAACTCATTGCCACATAAGCAAATTTGCTGAGTTGGACTTGATGTTACTGCTGAAGTTACTCCCATTGTGGCTAGTCTGAGTTTGAGTGGTGAATTCCTGTTATGATGTTGTGGCGCTCCAGGTGAGCTGCCACCATGTGTTCACAAGCTTCTTGTTCGGTGGTGTGCAGTGCAATTTGCATGTCACCCTATTCCACATGTCAACCCTAGCATCCTAGGGCGACTCCAACAAGGATCACCATATCGCTAGCAAAAGTCCGACCAGGCACTTTAGGCTGCCTCTACTTCGAGCCTATATTTGTGATAAAAAATATGACTCACATATTTAAGAAAAATAAACCATTAGATTCATATACAAAATTACATGGCACACAAAATATATACTTTTGAGGCATATACAAGATATAGAAATTGAGGAGATCGTTTCCATGCGTGTACAAAAGGCCGCTGACAACCTTTCCAAATGGCTAGCCAAGCACCGGTATGAGCGCATGATGCACCCACAACGTGAGACCAAGGAACAATCGTGAAGGGGGCCCGGTCGAATTTGAGGTGTTGCAACCCGAAGCCTATTCCATAGAGTTTGCACTATGAAAAGGAGAGGGAGAACTCCCACGACAGAGGATCCTGTTCTGCTTCGCTCCACCCGCCAAGTTCCTCCTATAGAGCCAACATTGCCGCCACCACCATAGCAATGTCTCCATATTTTTATTCTTCTACACGACATTCCTTAATGACCCGAAGAAATAATAAGACGGTTTACTCATTCATCTTAAAGAAACCTTTTTGCAGTGCCTCTTGTTTGCGATCTAACCATGATGTGTGATTAGTCTGAGCTTTATGATGGCGACACGCATCATGACATCGGGGATTTGAATGACTTCCGAGTTGGCAAAGGCGTGCGGCGTCGAGGATCAGCTTAACTCCAAGCTAGCGAAGGCAAGGGTCGCCGCGACATCGATGAGCTTTTCACCTTTTGCAGGCAGCCCTCTTTACATCACTTGTATTTTACTTCGGCCGAAACTTGTTGAGGATTTAGCATCACCGATTCACGACTTTACACTTGGTGAGGATTTACCACTGTAGATTGCAATAAGTTATGAAGGTGTTGAGGAAGGTTTGTCGTATAGTCAAGCCGTTCTCAGATTACTTCAACACCCTATCCAAACTTCTCTTCCTCGACATCGATCCAGGTTGTTCTCTACTATTTGGATTTAACTGTTTTATTTAATCGTCTATCTAAACATGGTTAGTCAACAAAAGTTTGTTTGGATAGACAACAAAAGTTTGATCGTAAGATTAGTTATTCTCACAACGCTTACTTTTCTGGTATGCATATCTCTATTTGGGTTAACCTGTCAGATGTTTTTAATAATAATAAAGTGATTTTAATAGATAAAGATGACAACATACTCCTCCATTTCTTTTTACTCCGCGTATAAAATTTGGTCAAAGTCAAACCACATAAAGTTTGACCAAATTTATATAAAAAAAATGAGCTTCTATAATACTAAAACTATATAGTATGAAAATACATTTCATGGTGCATCTGATAATAGTGATTTTATATGGTGAATGATGATACTTTTTAATATGAAGTTAGTTAAATTTTACAAAGCTTGACTTTGACGAAACCTTATATGCAGACTAAAAAAACGGAGGGAGTACCATTTTAAAAATAAAGTTTGACTAACAGGTAACTTAAACTGTGTGTTATGCTATTTCGCAAAAAAAAAAAAAAACTGTGTGTTATGCTTGAATGTTGGAGTATGCATGTGAATTGTAAGACTCTTGGGAGAAGAGAGGGCATCATGATGGCGTGGGGAAAAGGCAAATCAATCGGCTGTCTCGGGTGGCAAAACACTTCAACTTTTTTTTCAAAATTCAGATTTGACCAACCATTAATACCTTTCATTTATACGTGCATATGTTCCCAAAACGTCTAGACTCCTCTTTCCTAGAGCACGGCCGCCTCTTCTTCTTCCCACATGACCGCATATATTCTCCCCGCCTCTTCCGCTAGAGCGTACTGGCCAGACGGACGAAGCAGGCAGGCCAGATTTTAGTCCGGGAGGAGGTGAAGAGAGTAAGCTTTCCTGCATCTCATCTGTTGCTGATTCGTTCTTTTTAGATAAATTCTTTGAGACTAAACCTGCATTCTTTATTTATTTATTTACTCCCATTCTACCATTCGATTTAAGTTAACCTATCCTATGACTCGGATCAGATCTGAAACTCTCTGAAATTATTTTATTTGTGTATATGGCAATCACGTTCTTTTTCTTTTCTTTTTGCGTAAAGTGTATAGCAAAGAAGTTGACAGCCGCATCTACACAGTAAAATTGATCGGACATGTGGGAACCAAACAAGGGCCTAGCATTCGCGGAATCAAACATTCTAGAATCTGAAGACTAAATTATGAGAATGTTTGACATTAGCCGTATGAAAATCGTGTCAGTAGATTTTGTCGTCAATGGTTCATGCTGTTCTTATATGTTCTTTTGCACTAAGAGACTTCACGGTAGAAGGTAAGTTAGATATATGTGCTTAGTTGCTTACCTTTAATATGCTATGCATTCATATCTTAATTCATTGCTCACACTTTTTTTTTTACCTATTTCAGCAGCACAATGACAATAATAGACTTCATAGACGTGATTGATGATATCATTGACTTGAGCAGTGACGAGGAGAATGTTGAACAGGATGAAATCCCGACTCAGCCCCCGGCTACGATGCTTGATAGGCAGGAGGTGTTTGTCGAAGCTGGTGATGGAAGGCAAGAGGCTGCCGAGTCCAGAGATACTATCCAAGCTACCACATGGTCCATGTTTATGGAGGAAGGGCCTCTTGATACAACTGCAAAACAGAATTGCACTTCAATGACAGTACCACTCCCAAGTAATTACATTCTTCTCTATCCCATTTTATGTTCAAAAACCTCTTGTGTTTATCATAATAATAGTACACATATCAAACAACCATTGCAATGCCAATCCCTGTTTTCAGTTAACAGTGGCACCATGATAGAGATAAAAAGTTGTTACATCGCTGCAGGCCCCGCTTTGGCCGCTCCGGAGGCTCATCCCTCATCACAGCCAGACCAGACTGAAGAATGGTCCTCTACTCGGTCCAGAGATACTATGACAGGTACCACTGCAACACCGTTCTCGGTTGCAGAGAAAGGGCCTCTTGATGCCACTGCAACACAGAATTTTCCTCCAACATCAGTGCCATTCCCAAGTAATTACACTCTTCTCTATCACACTGTTTCTTAAGTTGTGTGCTTATCATGAAAATGTTCCATATCAACCAATCATTGCAACATCGATCCCTCTTTTGAATTAACAAAGACAGCCTGATAGAGATAAGTGGTTATCGCTGCAGGTCCCACTTTCACGACTCCGAAGGGTCTGACATTTGAAGGAGATAATGGAAGGCTGCTGAGGATGTATGGGAGACGTCCTAGGAAGAAGAAGAACTACCATACCGAAATCCCTAGGAGAAGTCCTAGGTTCGAAGATAAGCATAAGTGTAACAAAAAGCTGTTGTAGAGCTGGGAGTTGATTGCAGAAGAATCAACTGCCTCTGCAAGCAATGCAGAATCATCAAAAACCCTCTAGCTAGCTCTGCCTACACCCCTGATTACCTGCATGTGTTCTCTCCATGAAACCATTTTGATGTTGTTGGCCTAGTTTGCATACTTTGCCCAGTCTAGATCCAAACAATGTTTGCACTTGTCCTGACCCACTTGGGTATCTCTGGTATTATGGTTTTACTATGTGTGCTGTTCCTCACTTGGCTTTCTCTTGAGGTTATGAAGTTCAGTTTACCATGTAAGAGTAGCAGCCTTGTACATGCTTGATTTATTTATTTTTCGATACTTTCTGATAATTTAACATCAATGAGCCCATTCCAAATTAAAACTTTGGAAACTCAGTGCTTTTCCGCTGGTAAATGCAATCAAGGTTTGTTATAAACACTCTACCGTTCATGAAGCGATAATTTACTAAAAAAAAATCCGATGAAGTGATCGTTCAATAACATAAGGCAGATGAGAAATATTTGCTTGACAGAATCTTTAAGCTTTTACAGATTGTAGAAAAATTGGGAATCTTTTTATTTACTTGAGGAGTAATGTAGGTTTCATGATGTAGGAAGATGACAAACATCTTTGTGTTGCATACAATGTGGGTGATTTTTGCTTAAACTACTCCCGATTTGTGTTTCCATTTCTGCAATAGAATCTCTTTCCAAGCTACTGCTTCTTGTTAAATGTCACAAAAAGATTGCCTACCTGTTTCGGATGTGCATTATGAGGTGATATTTTTAATAAACTTGGGAAATGCACACAGTTTATGCAGTTTGGGACTTGAGAAACTAAGGGTGTGTTTGGTAGCTGTTCCCACCCTAGCATAGTTGTTCCCATTTGAGACATGCCAAGTATAGACATGCTGTGTACATGCATATGCAGTTGTTTGGTAGTGATGTATGTGTTGAGACATGCTGAGTCGAGATTGTGTTTGGTAGCCTGTATATGAGGTAGGATGCATCAACAATTTTTGCCAATACAATTTCGAACAACACTTCGACACTTCATTAATAATTCGAACAATAAACATCTCCGTTTCAACATAATCTGAACAATAAAAATCATTTCGTCTATATATGAATATGAAGAAAAAATTACTGGTCATATCTCAGCATGATTGGGAAATAAAACATCTTAGAAACAAAATCTCAGCAATATAACATCACTAGATCAACTAGACCAAGCTCCTCTCACAATGAATTTTCTTTGTTTTCTTGCCAAATCATTCATCTAAAAAACAAAAACAAATAAAAGTTATCACATGCAAATTTTTTCAGCATGACAAGCAATCAACAAAATTAAGTCTGAGCACAATAGCTACAACATATGAAAGGGAAACATCTACTGTGCTCGTTCTTACCACCTAAACATCATAATCAGAAGGGAATAGAGGAATACTGCAGAGATCTACAAGGTAGACATGGCAGGAAGGATGGACGGAGGGGGTTAGGGGAAGGAAGTGAGGA